GTTAGTGTGGGGGAATGTACGGTACCTTGTAAAATTTTACGTGTAAGCTCGTTTGATCCGTTACTTTTTATATTTAAATCGATAAAGTAATAACAGGATTTTTAATTCTAAATTCAAGATCAATTTCTAAAATAAAAATGTGACTTTTGCATTTTATTAATAACAAATAGTATTTTATTACCGTTTGACAGAGACTTAGGTAAAAAGTCTTCTTAATATATACAGTATATACATTTTTTCCCCTGTTTTCGGTGTTGGAAACTCGAGTCGTTGACACGTTTTAAATTAACTTGTCTGTGAGGTTCTGTCTAGTTTAGTGCTATATTACACAATCTGTTCCGCTGTAACTTCTATATCTCTACACTTTTTTTATGACCGAAGGAGCAATAGCCGAGTTTTTTCTTTATTTTTATGGATGTAAAAAGCTTGGAAACGTATAAATCCGTCGTCGGCATTATCTTCTAAGAAATACATTTTGATATTTTCCTAAATGAAAGAAACGGGGATTAGTCCATTTGACCATAGACGTTAAAAGAATAAGATGATTTTTATGTTCTTTGCATCTTTTTGTTCATATTTTATATATTCAGTGAAACCTGCTAATGTGACCGACTACCTGTGTAAGGTGACCACTTGAGGAGAAGGTCCCTTCGATGGTCACATTAGCAGGTTTTACTGTACTTCTAGAATAATATTTTCCTCTGTAAGTTTTCACGCCACGTCTGTTTTTTCTTCTTCTTCTTCTTCTTCTTGAGGAGCATTCAACTTTTCGCAATACCTCGAGCATATGTGGAAATCTAGTATTAAACAATAGAAATTTTCATCATCGCAATTAATTCATCCGAAAACAAATAGGCATATTAATTAAATTTTTAAAAAAATGCTAATATTAATTCAGAAGACACTGAAAAGATATTTATACAGTAAGTTAAAGATAAACCTTGAAAATGTAAATTTATAGCCTTCTTCCAGAGCGTTACTTGTCATTTATTGTCTCGAAAAACTGGACAGAGTAATACATAAATTTAAACAGTAAATTTAATAATTAACTTCTCTGTTTACAAACAACTAAGCGATATTAATCGTCGATATTGTTATATTCTTTCCATTATAAATGTAATTATTTGATAATCATATTCGGTAATAAAACGGAATATTTAATAGCGTTAATAAATATTAAACAGAAACTTAATGAATAATTTATTATCGTTGAAAAATACGGCCTCTTAAGCTTTTACCGTTTATTATATTGACTTTATAAGTTTTGACGATATATGACTATGAAAATTATGGGAAACCGTTATAAATTTATAACCAACCATTGGGATCTTCTTGGGTTTTACAATCATTTATTGCAAGAAATCAAGAAAATTATTTAATATTAATGCATTAAATATATATATATATATATGTAAATTGTATGATGTATGACGGGTGTTTCTAAGTAGCCAGCAATTAATTAATTAAGCAAACCAATAGCGTGGTTCGTTTTATATGAAACGGACTATTTTATTGGTTCACTTACTTAGTTATTGAGTGCTTTTAAACGAGAAGTGGTACAGAGTTATACTTTACTGGTTCTTTTGTATATAACAGATGAAAAGTATGGCAATCGGTTAAAAAATGACCCCCCAGATTTAAAATTTTTGAACTCGGAAGACCTTGAAATATCGGGAAATGCAAAAGAATTTGGATTTTTTTTCTGTACGTACAGATGTTTGTGTTTGCGTATGGATGCGATTTTTTTTCACCCTTTTTGAAGCTTAATAACTTTTGTGATTTTTGTCGAAAATTTCAGAAATTTTGCAGGGAGGTTTGTGTGTTATGAGGGCTTGATGCTATTAAATTTTGGTGGTTAAAGGTCGAGGGGTGAAGAGATAGAGGGAATCGTGTCATTTCTCAGTATGGTCGGACTTAATGGCGATTTTACTGGCATTTACAATTATTATTATTATTTTTTTTTATAAAACCCATCCCTACCTCAAAATTAAGCTATTTGCCATTTTATAATAATTAAAAATATAAACAGTTTTTTTTAAATAAAATATCACAACAGATGGCACCAGACGCAGTTGTAAATATTGCCGGAAAGTTAAGCAACTCGTTGATGGGTTTTTATTTTCTTTGCTTCGGCAAATTCTCGCATTTATTATTTTAAATTGAAAGAATATCTGTTTGCATTTGAATTTATCTCATTCTTCGTGATGGCAATTAATGTATTCCATGAGAAATATTCGAAACAAATATACAGCTCGAACAAAATAAAGTATTCTTGAAATTTGTGTAAAGATTTTAAATATTGTAACAGAAATACTGTATTTGAATATATTTCTGTTACAATAGTTAAAGAATATTTAATAGAAAAAAATTTAGTTAAAATGAATATTTGATATATTTTATAAACGTTCTTAGTGGGTGATGATGACAAAGAAATTTGAATATTTCTGCAAAATTTTTTGTATTAAAATTGATTTTATATTTTCCGGCATTCTCTGGAGGACGATATCTTCAGTTTAGGAATTACTAGCAAGTTTTTGCCATATTTAATCGTAAATGTTTCCAACTTTTTTCGGTTATTTGTTGACTTTTCAATGAATCTCAATGCCTTCCGAATAAAATATTCGAATATATATTCGTAACAAAACGTTTTTTTTATCGTAGGAAAGAAGTCCTTCAGGTGAATATATATAACTGGAAAGCTACTGAAGCGAAATAAAAATCGAAGGCAATAAATATTGATATATAAACGTTGAAACGATATAACTGGATCGCATAAATAACTCCGGAATATGACGCATTTATATATTTCATTATTAATTACCACTCGTGTTTATGGCTTGTTCACGTGGAGTTTTTTCTCGTGGTTATTTTTACTACTTTCCTGGCTGTTATAACAGAAGGAAAAGTATGGCGATCGGTCAAGAAACCACCTCTCCCCCAAGATTTTTACATTTTTGGGCTGAGGACACCTTAAAACCTCGAGAAATGCAATGGATTTTTTTCTGTATGTATGGATGTTAGTGTGGGGGGGGCACGATTTTGTTCACCCTCTTTGAAGCTAAATAATTCTCGTGTTTTTTGTCGAAAATTTCTGAAATTTTGCAGGAATTTTTGTTTATGGGGGAGATCGATGCTATTAAATTTTGGTGGTTAAAAGTGTAGGTAGTGGGAAGATAAAGTTGGGGCGTGTCATATTTCGAGTAGGGTCGGACTTAATGACGATTTTACTCGTTTAGCATTTACAATTGTTTATAAAAACCCATTCCTACCCCGAAAATTAAGCTTTTGGCCATTTTATAACAGTTAAAAATATAAAAAGTTTTTAAAAAATAAAATATCGTAACAGATGGCGGCACCAAATGTTGCCGGGAAAGTTAAGCAACTCGTTTCTGGATGTTTTTCTTTTTGTGTTTAAAGGTTAACGTGGTTTGTTACAAACTTTGCCATTTCTCCCATTTCAAATAGAAATTTAATATAATTAATTTTATGGATTAAATTTTTTTCAAACTACGGCAGTTCGTTTTATTAATAATTCCACGCAGCAATTAACATAGAAATTTTTGATTTAAAAAAAATCCCCAAATTCGAAAAATGTGTAAAACGTTAGTAAAAATGAATCTCGTCGAGTACGAGTATTATATTAATAAAGTTATTATTTTCAGATATTTTAATTAAATACATCTCGAAAGATTTTACCAGCGTACGAGCGATTTTTATACAATATACTGTACAATACTAAGATTTAATTTGATAGTGCTGCCATCTTGTGATGGAGAAATTTAGTTTGATTTTTTAAATATTCTTTATACAGGCAAACTTCTACCTCCGAACGGGGTTATTTTGTACGCATTTTTGTTCAAAAATGTTCTCGAAAAATAGTGGCCGTTTTTGGAGGTTAATATGCCGGTATTATAATATTTTCGAACATCTAGATGTAAATAAATTAGTTTTTAAAGTTTTCTATTTATTAAATGATCAATTAATATTATACAATATTTAAGTATAATGATTTTATGCATTTAAACTGTAAACTGATTTAATATAAGAGAATATATTGTTATCGTATTTGATTGTTTCATTTGTCAACAGATGGCGTTTGGGATGTTGCCAGCTGGAAACCATGATTTAATTTTTCTATTTATGAAATAAATTTTATTTCTTCACTATTTTAATTAATAGTTAATGTTTCTTTATATATTGCAAGTGTGTTATGACATTTTCCTTATTAATCCGGAATATTATACACTTTAAAATAATTTCACTTAATTTATAACGTATTACGATAGTAGGTCAAACTTTTTTAAATAATAGAATATATATTATCAGCAAATCAAAAAATATATGTATTATAAATTTTGGAAGCCCTCCAGATATTATTCTAATGATGTGAATGAATGTACTTTTACGAGAATTATGGATTTGCTACTTGAGAATTTGTGTGTATGTCGTGGTACCTTAGCCAAACTATACATTAAGCTATCCTGAATAGTAATTAGCTTTTAATGAAATCAAACCGTGAACCATTATCCAATCATTAATAGCATTTATCAGCTATTATCCTTAAAATAAGGATGCGGGTCGCGTTTCCTTTTTGATTCAATGCGGGGTTTGCTCGGTATATAAGGAAACGTGTTTCCTAATCTTGTTTAATAAAGGATGTAAGGGGAGCCGAATGACGTTTCACTTTCCAGACCTTCCTTTATTATATGCTCGATCTGATATATTTTTCTGTTATTTCTTTTAGGTAACAGGCGGCAAGCAATGGAACGTGGCTGCGATGGAACGATATCTTCGTGATCGAGCCGAAGAAGAAAGTGTCAAATTAGGTATCATCGCACCCATGACGAAAGATCAGAAGCCGGAATCGGTAGATACTCAGAACGAAGATGGAGGTTTGGATGAGGCGAGTAGTCCGTCGTGGACCTCGAGTTGCGAACAGACTCCTTCCTATAACTCCTCGGATCTGACGTTCGAGTTTGGTCAAAAATGTGATTTGAATACCAATAATTTGGAAGAGAATAAAACTAAAGAGGAGAGTAGGAAAAGGTCTCGTCGTATCTTAAGAAGAGAACCTCGAGTTTCCAGTCCTCAGCTAAAAGAGAGTTTGAGCACAGACAGATTGGAAAATATCGAACCTAATAAGGACGAACGATATTGGAGTAATCAATTGAAGTTGAGGAAGAATTCGGCGGATAACGCCGAACAATTGAAGTTAAGGAAGAATTCCGCAGATAACACGGAAAAGATGAGCGTTTCTAGGAGTAGTACCTTCTCCAGATTGCTCAGAAGAACCCAAAGTGCCGGTTGCACGAAAGATGTTCCTGCCCATGCTCTTTTTCTAAGAGATAAACGAGTAAGTGCATCTTTGAACTTTTTTTTCCACTTTTAAATTTTCAATTAAATTGAAATATATATTTATTTATACGAATGAAATTTGCATCCAAATATTTCCTTTATCAAAATTATACAAAATTTAAATCTTCTTGCAGATATTTTCATTTCTTTGATATAATAAAACAGTATATTAAATGAAACTTTCCATAAATTTTATACGAAATTGCATATATGAAACGTGTGCACAATTTAAATATTCATGAATATTAAACATTCAAATGTCTGTTGACGAACGTTATGCAAATATAATTACATATTATCTAGAAGCTATTTTCGTCGAATTTCAATAATGAAGAATCATCAAAGTACGTCGTGTATATTATCTACCCGGATTGTATTTTTCTAACGAGTAAAATACAAATTACGTGTAATTTTAACCATTGTCTGGATCAGTAATGTAATAATCGCGTCAGTAATGGAGAAGTAATTCAAATATTACATTTTACTACCTTCCGTTTGTGCGTTATAAATAAGAGAATGCGTAAAAAAAAATATAAAAGTTTTTTTGTCTGATTGAAAATAATGAGATTTTGCAGTTTCGTATAATTATTTTTCTAATCAAATTTTATATCCATTTATGATCTAAGAAGATCCAGCAACGAGTTGCTTAACTTTCTCGGCAACATTTAAAATTTTGTTGGTGCCATTTGTTATATTTTATTAAAAACACTTTATATTTTTAACTATTATAAAATGGCAAAACGCTTAATTTTGAGGATACAGATGGGTTTTATAAACAATTGTAAATGTTAATAACCAGTAAAATTTAAAGTAAAATTAAGTCCGATCCAACTGGAAATACACACGATCCCCTTCATCTTCCCATCTCTCGACCTTTAATCACCGAAATGTAACAGCATTGATTCCCCTAATAAACAAATCTCTCTGTAAAATTTCAGAAATTTTTTATAAAAAGCACAGGAGTTATTAAGCTTCAAATGGAGTGAACAAAATCATTTCTCGGCCTTTGAAGGTGACCTGAGTTCGAAAATGTAAAACTCTTTGGTGGGGTCTTATTTGATCGACCGCTACACTTCCCCCTTTTATATATAACAGCGGGAAAGTAATAAATTGTTTTCTATTTTTAGTATGTATATAATTATTTTAGCGAAAACAATGTATCACATAGTTCAATTGTTTGAATATCCGATAAAATGCACAAAAGTATTTTTTCGCCAAAAATAGATCCGTGCTAATAAATGTCCGTGGAAATAAATCAGAATTTGAAACCGGACAACATTATTATTAAACCGTAAATATTCGAATAAACTCGAGAAATTGGGGAAAAAACGTAATTGAAAAGTAATGACAAAACGAGCAATTATTAGGGGAGACCGGGGCAAGATCGGCATGTTAAGCTTTACTTAAATTATGTGTAATAAATACTGCTGTAAACTGAAAAAAAAGCTTTGCATATTGTCTATTGGAATGTTACCTTACTATAGAACTGGTTAAAATCAGTTTGGAAATAAAAATAATTAAAATAATTACAACTTTACAAGAAGAGAGAAATTGACGAAGTTGCCCCGGGTATAGGGGCAAGATCGGCAACTTCTCTCTTTTTGTAAAGTTGTAATTATTTTAATTATTTTTATTAAAGTTGCCCCTGGTATAGGGGCAACAGTAATGGGGCAAGATAGGCACGTATATAAAATTATGTTATTAACAATGTATAAGTTGGAATTCACTATTAAAACAAAGAAATACAAATCCAACACCCATTTAATATTATTACAACGAAATGCAAGTTCAAAGACATATATACATGAATAACAAATGCAAACATGTTTTCATTTATCATCTGTTTGATTTTTATCCTTTGCTTCTAATGTGGCTTTATGTTGCCGATCTTACCCCGCTAGTCATGATTTCGAAACATTAAGTACAACCCTGAGAACAGAATGCCAAGCCACGATCTGGCCACGTGAATAAGTTGAAGTTACATCCTTCTAACAGGAAAAGTAACTTTCGTTATCATGGAATTATAACAAAACCTGCCAATTCAATATAAATGGAAAAAAAATATTATATGGAATTGAACGAAAATGAAAATTTGCTTGATAATTCAACTACGCTTGTTGGAGAACAATAAAAACACTACACTCAACAAGCCACCAATAAAACTCAACTGCCTAACCTATAACCAAAGTCTCCTTTTAATTTGTTTTTTAAAAAAAGCGCTTGACAAACTTGCCCCGCATGCCGAAGTTGCCCCGGTCTCCCCTAATTATGACATGGTTACAATGCCGGACTGCAATTTTTAATTTAAAATATATGCTCTCCACCTCAAATTAGTTTCTTGTCCCTGTACATCATACTTTTCCCGTTAGCAATGGAGTCGTGCCAATCATCTATCTAAATCACTTCGGGGAGAATATTTAATTGCAAACCGAAAGCCACCTTACTTCATCGGAAGTTCGTATATAGTTAATCGTAGTCTCCTGCCCGTAAGGTTCCAATATCCGGTCTCATCTTTCACCTATCTAACTCCGTTCTCAATATTATTGAAGGACCATCGACAGTGGGGGAGTTTGTCTACATTTTTTAAAAATTGCAGCCCATCAAGTTTACAATGCGATTTATCCAGTATAACAAACGGTAGATTATATCGATTGCAGTTCGGTGACTCCACGGTCAGAATGAAAGGTCCCGCGAAATTCGATATAAAGCGAGGAACCCGAAATTCTACAAATCACGCCGTCCTTTTATTTTGTATATCTGATATCTCTATGTATTATCTCCGTGCCACGGCCACAGTAAACAGATAATGTAACTAAGAAAGCCGGCAGTCTGTCGGTTCGTTTTAAAAAATTTAATCTTTATATGGAACATTTATACGGTATATTTTTGTTTATTAGATTTTTGTCTTTGAAACTTACCGCAAATACGAGTCAAATATACACATGGTGACGTTTAGGAGCATTGTATATATATGTAATAAATTTTAGCCGTCGTTGTATTATGCAAACACACGATTCTCCGCTTATATAATACTTATATGTGTCTAAAAGTTTATTAATCGTGTTTTAAATCTTCGAAACTCGCAGGCGACGACAAACGTTAATGGCGACGTTGCCATTCTATACTTTAGTTAAGCTAAGAAAGTTCGTTGCACTTTTACTTTTAAAGCGTGAACTTTGGATCTAAGGCTTCTTTATTTAATATTACATCTCGCGCGAATGAAAAAAGTGCCATCGTCGGCAGCAATTTTTATTTGAACTTTAAAAATAAGTCACGAATTTTGATGGAAATCTCATAAATTTCCTATTTGAATCTTTGCTCGAAACGTGATTATGCCGAAGGAAATACATTTAAGTGATTTATTTTTATTTTCTTTTTTTAAGGTTTATATTCGAAATAAGATTTTAAATAAACGATTTTATAATGCTATAAGATACAAAAGTAATCTGTACGTAAATCTACTCGGGTTAAAAGTTAATTACCTTACGGATCGAATAAATTTGTTGGGCTGCAATTTTTAAAAAATTGTAGACCTATAAATTCCACTTTCTTCCGTCCGTTCGTCTGTCCTTCCTTAATCTCGAGAAAGGAGTTATTTAGATAAAACTTGAGACTATAAATGGAAACCTGTGGGGCAGAAGGCCCTGATCAAATGTATACTCCCATACAAACCGAAAGTCACGTTATTTCAATTCAAAATCTTCCAAATTTTTCGACTCTATTGCTAGCAGGAAAGGTACGATATACGTGGACAAGGAACTATTAATTTGAGAACTGAAAAAATTATAGCCCGGCATTTTGAGGATGTCACAATAAATAATTGCTCATTTCCTGTTAAATTATTAAAACTTTTTAAAGTAAACTTAATGGCTTTCGTCGTTATTAATATAAAACATTATACATTTTATCCAAACAAAAATTTCTCGTTTACAATACTCTATTCAGTTTGGCCAGAGTAAAAGAATAGTTATAAGGGAGAGAAAAAATGTGTGTAATAAACTCCGAGAATATCTTTAATCTGATAAATAAATAACGTATTTCCGAATTTGGAAAGCCGGATAAATGGAATCACTCATAATTGTTTTTATATTTATATATATATCTTTAACTACATATTAAATTGCGTTATTCAATGGTGATAAACACCTACGCTTCGTCTTGCCTTTTTTTCTTTTTTGATTTTTTTGCTGTTTTCCGTTTCTTAAGTTGACTAAGGTTACATCTAATAACTGTACTGTACAGTACATACAGCGCATTCAGTCATTATACTAAGTAAACCATAGAATTAGGAAATGAATGAGTTTAAAATCCTCTTTCTAACAGTGTAAACTTACCAATTAAAATTTGAACCTATCGTCAATAGGATTTAATAATTAATACTTTAAACTACCATTTACTAAACTGCGAAATGACTAGTTTAAAATATACTTATGGTTATATATAAAGAAGATATGACTTTGGGCCTGTGGTATAAGTCTATAGCTTAGGGTCTTGTATTTTTTACGCGTGGGGAAAAGCCTAGTATGTATTTTTATCAAAAATTTCTGAAATTTTGCAGGGAGGTTTGTTTATTAGGGGAATCGATGCTGTTACATTTTGGTGATTAAAGGTCGAGGGGGTGGGAAAGTAAAAGGGTCGTGTCATATCTCCAGTAGGGTCGGACTTAATGACGATTTTACTGGTTATTAACATTTACAATTGTTTATAAAACCCATCCCTATTCTCAAAATTAAGCGTTTTGTCATTTATAATAATTAAAAATACAAAAAGTTTTTAAAATATGGTGACACCAAATGTTGCCGGGAAAGTTAAACAACTTGTTGCTGGATTTTTTTTATTGCTTACGATAGTGTGATGCAAGTATTATACCAAGTAATTCAAAATGAAAAATTTAAATAAACACAGACTGTTATAAACTTAACTTGTACTCGCTAATTATGACTTATTTTTCGCCCGTCACCAACCGTAGTACACGAATATTTATCACGTACGGAAAGG